ATATATATATATATAGAGAGAGAGAGAGAGAGAGAGAGATAGATATACTGTATATATAAATAGACTGCCATTTCTGTTTGCCATCTCTAAATGATAGTCCCCTGTTGTCATAAGAATCCTCTGACTTCAATACTTTGAGTGACTGTTTGTGTTTCAGGGGTTATGACATCAAAAGCTTCATGCTTGTACTGGGTCAGGAACTCAGATCATCCAGAATTCGGAGAAACCAAGCCAGTAATATTTTCAGAAGCAGGTCATCAATGGCAGCCCAGATATCTCTTTCTGGACAGGATCCATATACTAAAAATCTCTGTACAGGCAATCCATATACTAAATTGTGACTTGCAAGTCAATGTACATGCTACACATGCATCTTCCCTGGCAAATCTTTACAAATAAACACTCACTAAAATGTTTCTTTTTCTTTAATAACATTCTATACAAATGGTGACAAATTGTGACAGATCCCCTTGAAATAATTCTATGGAAAGATGAATGACTATCCTGATAACGGTCCATTGTGACTGTATAGACCTCTCACAGACCCAAAGTTCACCAGCAAGTGGCGCTGTACATAAACTCTACAATTTAAGCTGAGATGAGAGTGAGTTCCCACGGTAGTATAAGGAGAGGTGGCATGCACAGAAGATGGTATGAAAAATGAACCTTAAGGGTAGCAATTGTTTTACATGATGTATTGGACCTCCTGTTTAATTCCACTGGTGTATAGTCTTAAGCATCAGAAGTAATTTTGCCTAACTCATGAAATTTGCAGAGTACGAGGTCAGTTTAATTAAATCTCCCCTGAGATTCAACCGCTTTATGCAACAATGCTACCATTGCCTGCTTGTCCATTTACTGTATTGATTGGGCTAAGCTTGTAATGAAGCAGTGATCAGTGACTCCTGCTGTGCTAATCCCGGCTTGGTGCATACAAAAAATAGCAGCATGACATTGTGTATGTATATAAACAGTGGAATGAGGCTTTGTACCATATCTGTAAACAGCAATCCAATATGGAGGAATACCGATTTAAAGGTACACCCCAGTCAAACATAAACATTTGGAATTCAGATGACTCAGGGGACAGAGTCTAGCCACTGAATGGATCTCAGTGCTATCCAACCATCTTCTGAACCTGGAAGCCCGACAGATCCTCATCATCTTAAAGCCTAACTCAAGGCAATTGTTATTTCATTTGTATTTCTGTCTGTGACCCCCATATCGATATTTTCTCTGACTTTGCCCCTGATTGTCACCAGGCAGGAAGGCACAGACAGCTAGAAAAACATTTTTAGAACCCCCAATTTTTTTTTGTCTTTGTCCCAGTTAGGGAGGTTCCAAAGAAAGGAAGTGTCCTCTTACCTCTTCGAAATCTCCTCCTACCTCTTCTGGATTCGACACTTCCAGGAGTGTCGGAATGACTGTGCCCCCACCATGACCTTAGGTTCCTTCCTTCAACCCCTATGTTACTACAGGACTCAGCAGTTATGTAAGGATGGAGGATTGAACCATAGCATGCAGAGGGGGGGAGGAGGCTCCGGCAGTTGTGACTCCCAAAGGTGTCTTATACCGAAGGGCTTACGGAGGTTGCAGCACTGGAACTAAGAAAAGGTAGGAGACACGAGCCACCAAATACATATGTGTGCAAGCTACCTCTTCTCTGGTAGGGGAGTGCCACTTGCATTTGTTTAGGGACCTGACAAGCTGAACTTCCAGATATGTACAGTAATCCAAATTGAAACTTTGACTTTGTACAGGAACTTCCTGTTTTGAAGGACTGGTCACACCTGCTCTCTCTCCTTGTGTCAGATGACTGGTCTTGTCTCCACCACATCCTGTAGTTTTCTGCAGACAATATGTAATGGGTGGGGCCTGCTGGACCCCTTCTACAGCTCTTACATTCTGTTGCAGCACTGTGATGACGTCAGTGCTATTTTTATTTGGTAATATCAGGCATTTGGTGCAAAGTAGATTTATATCCTTTGTAACTATTGTGGAAAATATTTGAATTTAATTTTGTGTGTGTGAAGCTTTAAAGAAGACCTCCACTTATCAGTGAAAACAGTCAGTGTGTGCTAGTGTTTACACTCAGCTATCCTGGCAATGCTCTGCCAGGCGAGTACTGAACAAGCCAGGAAAAGCTGCCAGATCCAAGATCCAAGACTTCACACTATGTAAATAACATAACATAATAACATAATATGATAGGATAATATCAAACTTTAATTTTAACCAGGGATGGGCAAACTCCGGCCCTCCAGCTGTTGTGGAATTACAAATCCCATGAGACATTGCAAGATTCTCACAGCCAAGATTAGTAGCTGGTTAAGAGAGGAGATATGACGTTTTACACTATTGCAATTTTAACATGAGTAGGTTTTCACCAAAATGGATTTGTATCAGAAGACTTGTCACTTCCTTACAGATATCTACTATCCATGGGTCAGGGAACCCGCCACTGTGTATGTCATCAACTCAGGCAATGTATAGAAGAAATGCACATGTGGTCAAGGTATCATAACTGTACAACACATGGTCCACATCGAGGGATCCGAATGACTGGTATACATGCTCATGGTTCGTGCATGGCACCCGATTGCCATTGAATGACTGACAGTCACAGAACACTTTCAACTCTAAGCTACACAGGCAATCAGTCTTGCAAACCTCTTTACTGTTGCCTTGTAATGTCAGCGTCAATGATCAGGGGAGGCCGCAGTTGTCTCAGGACTGGCAATACAGGAATCCTCATTTGTCAATGTTAGTGGTGCAAATCAATGGAGGAGGTTGTGTGATTGATCACAGCAATGTGTACAGCTGCAGGTATTATTTCGGTATTCAGGTTATACAGTCCACTATGTAGGGCTTAGCCCTCACCTCTATATGACCTGAGTGGCAACCATTAAGCTGGTTGTACACATTACACGCTGATTGTACAATCTCAGTACAATAGTCTTTAGTTTATTCATAATGCAATTGTGAGGACAATGTGAGGGCAATGTGAGGGCATATTTGAACTATCCATTCACTAAACAGGCCCTTGCACTAGCTGTTGGTAGAGCTAAGGAAGACTGCACTATCTGTGTCTGCTATTTAAAGCAGACCTAACCCCTAACTGAATGACATTTGTGTTTGTTTTTTTGTAACCGATTTACAGGGCCACTTAGCCTACAAATCATTCAATACATCTGTTCTTTGGGAATAGATGCAAAAACGAACATTCTTATCTTTATATTTAATTTTTAGGTTGAATGTAAAGTAATACTGCAATTTGGCCACTAGATGGAGCTGAGGTGCATAAGAAATCAATACTTATTTCCTATGTTCATGAACACCATCTATTGGTCATAATGATGCATTACATTACATACATTCAACCTGAAAAGAAAATGGGGGGAATTTATGAAAACTGGAGCAGACAAAATGTGGAGCAGCTGTGCATGGCAACCAATCAGCTTCTTTCTTCAGTTTGCTCAGTTAAGATTGGAAAATGAGAGAGCGGCACTGATTGGATGCCATGCACAGCTGCTCCAGATTTTATCTGCTCAGGTATTGATAAATTCCCCTCAATGTATCCAAAAACTTTTGTTTTTGTGTCTACATGTTCAGCAAAGATTTTAGGGTGTATGGCTCTGCAAATTGGCTATAAATATACCCCATAGTGTCCTAAATTGTATCATAAGCAATTGTCATTCATAAAATCCTGTTTTCTACATTTTTCTCTTTTAAAAAAAAAATTCTGATGTGATCTCCTCCAGCCTTTTGCAACCACTTCCTGTCTACATGCACTCACTCCAGCATCAGCTGCACATCAATGCTCTAGACCGATTTACTACTAGTGACAACACTGGACATTCTCCGCACACAATGGGGGAAATTTATCAGAACTGGAGCAAACAGATTCTGGAGCAGTTACACACAGTAAGCAATCATCCTTTGTTCTTCAGTTTGTTCAGTTAAGATTTGAAAATGAAAGAGAGATGCTGATTGGTTGCCATGCACAGCTGCTCCAGATTGTGTCTGCTCCAGTTTTGATAAATTCCCCTCATTGTGTGTCAACTCAGCTGCTCGTTGTCTCCACCAGGGCAGCAATGGTCACAATGCAGGGGCACAACTGGGAGCAAGCTGACACCCCATGATAGGAAGTGTCTGAATTCGGACCTATATAGCAGAATTACAGGGTATAGGTTGAAAAGGTTTTTTGAAATGACATGAAAATGTTAAAGATTATATAGGATTTTAGTGATTGGATTTAGATCTAAATGTGCGAATGAGAGTTTTCAGCTAAGCATGGCTTAAAGGGTTAAAATAGTCCTCGGTTTCCATTCTTTTTTTGGTCTGTAGTTCTTTGTGCTGACGTACTTCTTATAATGAAAGCACTATATTCCTGAGAAGGAAATAAAAACCCTGCAGCACAAAGAAGGAGCTGGACTACATTTTCCGCTGTCATTTTTTAATGAGTATCTCCCGTATTAGACTTGTAGCACATACACCCACGCAACACACGGGGAGGCTTAAAGCCTGGCAAGCAGTATCCCCCAAGGACGGTCTGCTTGTCTGAACGACTCAGTAGCTTTCAACTTTTCCATTACTGCAGTGTCTCCCAACCTGAAAGGAGGTGCCAATTTTAAGGGGGAGATGTAACGATATCAACACTGAGGGGTTATGTAATAGAGCTAAAGCCAATACACTGTGTGGATGTCCTGAAGATTCAATCATCACATAAGATTTAGCCCATTTATTTCACTGTTCAGGGCACTTGTATGAATGCCATACATATTCCTGCGTATTCCATACTGCCAAAGTCTGGCTTCATAAATGCAAGCAATGCTCCAATTTTTGAAAATTACTTGCGATCATCAAGCTATTGTTGAGGTGCTAAAAGGTAACAATGGGCATCTCCAGTAGTCAGAGGGGCTTGCTATCGCCTGGGGGAGATTTTTCAACTGCTAGTAATCTAATTGGTTCCCGTACTTTGCATTGTGTGCTTATGTGTGTCTGTATGACTGCAATATGGACATTAGATTGTAAGCTCTTTGTGTGCATGGACTGATGTGAAGCCTTTACAGTAAAGGGTTCACCAAGATATTGTACTAATGCTACTGGCTTTTAGAAGCATTATAGAGTTCAGGCAAAAACACTCATGCATTTAGTACTACCAACACTCTTTTCTTGTTTTTGGTTGGTCTCCACTAGGACTTCATGAACAAAGAAGTGGTTAGCACTTTTCTGCTGGTTTTCACTTTTTTACTTCAATGAAATGTAGGTGACATCTTGATAAAGAGTGATAATCTGTGTATCCTGCTGCACTCCTTACTGGATCAATGGGAATCCTGAATATACAGGTGGGTGCTCGTAGTGACCACGGATGGCGCCGTCAACAATACATGAATAACAAAAATGTCACCAGCACACCAATTAAAGTGATCAGCAAAAGTCTATTTCATGAAAAATTGCCATTCAATGCATGGACTTTTGCTGATCACTTTAATCGGTGTGCTGGTGACATTTTTGTTATTCATCTTGATGAAGAGAACCTAAGTGTCCTTGGCCATGCACCCATAAGGTTTTGTGGTTTCTGAGGTAGGCGTCTAAAACACTCAAAGGATTGCATCGCTCCTCCACAGCACACAAGAAGGGGGAAACTAGGTGCTCACCGGCTGGAGCTCATCCTCACTCCCATGTTAGCTGCCATCCAAAAAAATAAAACATCTGGCCACACTCCATATGTCAGTGGAAACTTCTTTTATTACAGATCACAGAACTACACAAAGTCCCGCCTCAGGCCCGCCCCTCCAATGCATTTCACCCAATCCTGGGCTTAATCTTATTTCTACAATTATGCCCAGGATTGGGTGGAATTAGAGGGGTGGACCCGAGGCGGGACTTTGTATAGCTCTATGATCTTTAATAATAGACGTTTCAAGCGACATATGGGGTGTGGCCGGATGTTTTTTTGTTTTGACAGCTCCTGAAGTAGGCATGTTTCATGGACAAATATGCCGCTTGCACTTTAACATGTAAATTGGCATCATAGAAGTTGACCAAAATTGCAATTTTTGGCTATTTACATAAATATTGCATATTAGTTATAGAAACAGAGCTATATATAAAAAGAAATCTGGGTAGCTAGTTTTCAGCACTTAGACCTTAGTATTGTCAATGCCTTAGGCTCTAAGGAAGACAAATACGCTGTAGAATAAATTCAGTGTTAAAACAATGGTTTAAGTTAGGGACAGAGGTGAGGGGGTTAAGGTAGGTTAGGTTAGAGTTTGGGGGGTAAATTATGGGTTAAGTGTTAAGGTGCATGTTAAGGGTTACATGATAGGTTATGTGTGAGTATTAGGTTAACTGTTAATTAAATGTAAGGGTTGGGTTTACAGTTAGGTAAGAATTAAGGGTGCGGAATAAGATTAAAGACTTAATTTTAAAGATTAGGTTAAGTGTTAAAGATTGTGTGGGATAACATTAAAGTTGTAAAGTCAGCTTAACATTTAGGGATAGGTCAGGGAAATCAATGGCCACTGTGTAATTTTGGCACCAAAAGCCCTACACAAGTAACAACTGCAAAAGTAAATCCCATGTATACATACCCTTGAAATTCCAACAATTTGTTCATCAGGTAACAGGCTAATATGGACAAAACAAGACTCAAAGTTTCCATCCTCTTTCCTCTCCATTAGATCTTTTCCTTGTATTAACATGACATGCAGTATGTTGGAATTCACATCGTAATCCATAGTCACTTCTACTTGCCCCACTGTAAAGTCTTGACCAAAGTTATTTCCAATAGATGAGATGGAGCTGAGAGAGTCTGTGGAGACAGATTTCCTTAATACTCCATATGGTGTCATCTCCATCTCCTTGTGGATCAGTTCCATGGGACCAAACTCATTCATGCTTTCGTAGGTGTCATTGAGATTTGCCACATTGTTGAAAGAATTCCCGTGAACGGTCCTCTGGGAAGAGAAAGAAAAAGGCACAATATTTAAAAATGTTTCATAAAAAAGTTAGAAAATAACACTGTAAAGCAACAGCAAGTTAAATCTGAGCAACAAGTACACACGTTAAATACACAGTTAAAATATATATGTGTGTTATCTGCCAAAGGATTTGTAATTCTTTTCAGCCAGCCCCTCCCCATCACCACCAGTACCATGTACCAAAAACACAGCCTGGCCTCTGGCTTCCTTTTAGACAAATGAGCAGCCATGCAATATAGCATAGTCAAAGATAAACACCAGCCTAGGATTGGGCAATGAAGGGCAGCAGCACACTACTAAAAAGTACATCCTTGTGCTGTAACCTCCAGTTGATGTGTTCACAATGTGGCATACAGCACCGTGCAAGGCAGTAGAGCCCTCATTGCCTTAGAGTCCTACCACAACCTCTCTCTCAGCAGTATGCTATAAAGACCAATTCAACTACTTCTGCTAGCTGTATGCAAAAAAGTATTAGTGGATGAATTTCCTCATAAATCCACAGTAATCCACAGAGGTGCTGTGATTAAGTCTTCATAGAAAACATAATAAGGTCTTTACCACAAGTATAGGAAAGGGATATTGACGACAGAGTAAAACATTGGTAGGTACTGTCCTAGAGTCTGCAAATGTATAAATGAGTCAGCAGGGGCAGCTCCCAAAGTTCTGTTCCCAAAAGTTCCCTAAAAATTAAGGATTATGACCCAAACATAAGTAGTAGGTGGAAAGAGGACTCAAAGGCTTGTGCACAAGGTAAAGTAAAGTTCAGCAGGGTGAGTGGAAACCCCTCCTAATGCTGCAGCAGGTTTGGGCTGCCTCCTGGCAAACCTGCATCCAATTCATATTTTGCTATGCATGGTCCAAAATGTAGGCTCTCATAGATTAGAGACACTACACAGAGGTGCCTTCCACATATTTTGCAAAAGTTGTGCAACTAAAACCTCTGTGTTTGTGTAAAGCCCTTATTTTAAAGCTAGTTTTAATTGATCAGTGTGTTTGCTATTCATTTCACTTGTTAGAGACTTTGGTTGTGCAAGTGAATGAAAAATAGCTAAATGGTGGTAAAGAGGACAATCCCCTTGTATAAATACCAGGGATGCACCAATACTGTTTTTTCAGTATCGAGTACTAGTAGCGATATTTTTTTTTCCAGTTCCCGCGGATACCGAATACTGGCATCCGTGGGCCCGGATAATCAGGAGGCCGATGTTCTATCAAAGGAACACCAGCTTCACTTTCCTCCCAACACTGCTAGGCAGCCTGGCTTCCTGACCAATCAGGAAGCCGGTCGGCGGGTCATGACTGATTGCCTGGGAAGCCGGTGTTCTATTGAAAGAACACTGGCTTCACTTCCCTCACGACAATGCTAGGCAGCCTTGCTTCCTGACCAATCAGGAAGCCGGGTGGTGTGTTATGACCTTCCGTCTGGCTTCCTGATTGGTCAGGAAGCCAGGCTGCCTAGTAACAGGTGAAGCCAACTGCCTAGCCAATCAGGAAACCGGGAGGCGGGTCATAACCCGCCTCCCGTCTTCCGGACTGGCAGGGAAGCCGGCCCCATGCTCCCCCATGGCCCTGCCAGTCAGAGGAAGATCTCCCTTTGACCGTAAGTTCCGGTATCAGGGGTAAGTATCGGAGCCTTTGGGCAAGTGCCAGTATTCGCCCAAATGCTTGGTATCTGCACCGATACTGATAGTAGTATCGCTATCGCTGCATCACTACTATATACAATCCAACAACACCACCGATACTGAGTAAACCTGCCCCACCATCATGAGATACCTATTTCTAGATCACTAATAGCTATATTCTATTGAACTACAAGTCCATCTTCTGGTTCCCTGTCGCAGTCCTTGAGAAATAGCTGTCTACTAAAGGTATACTTTAAAATCACATTTCTTTCTAAATCACACACAACACTGAGAACTGAAAAATAATCTTGTAGTGAATTCAGAAGAAATAATATGATATCACTATATCTGCCAGGTGAAATTACCTCGCTCAAGTTAATCTTCAATTTATAGTACATAGCAGAGTCATTTGGAGATTAAAGTGCCGCTGTGCTATAGAAGTAATTGCTGTATGACTGGAACGTTGCAGAGATGATGCACTAGAAAGCTCTGTACTGCAGCTAGGTTCTAGTACTGACATTCTATTAAGTGTCTATTACAGATAAGTATAGACCCATTCTCAGAAAATACCATTACTGTAATGAGCCAGCAGAGCCGGCATTCAGCACATGTAGTAGATGTATATTAAAAAGCATTTTGGCTGGTCCTTGTCATGACTCTGTGATGTGCATGGAGAGAAGGACATAACGTTTACAAAGGGTTGTACGGTATATGTACCATTGAATAACGTGTGAGTTACCAAGTTATTGTGTCTTGTTCATATTGTTGAGTGATGTACATGTTTGTAACAAATTAATAATTAAAACATAATATTTTCCCTTCCATACCCAAGCTAACACTACAGATATCTGGGTTTTGTAAAGTCACTGGTCAATTGAATTATGTATGGAGATCTCTTTTATCTCTCAGGGATGTCACATGGCAGGTACTGTATCTCCACCAGAATTTTCAGTTCTATTCCTTTTACAGGCATTAAAGCCAAGCTGTGGTGTCGTGCTTTAAGTAGAACTGAAACCAAATCTTTTTTTTCCATTTTGGATACAGTAAGGGAGGGTTATAACACCCGTCAGCTTTTTTTTTGAGTTTGTGTCTCATTAGGGAGAATTCCCTTAACTTCCTGTCCAATAGCCACAAGCTGGAAGAGAAAATTCCTACAAATAAAGGGAAATCACTGGTGGTCAATAGGTTCACCAGAACTAGTGTCCTCATTGGAAGATTTCCCCTCTATTCCACTTCTGGTGACAACCACAAATTTGGGTTCCGTGTTTTTTTTTTTTTTATATAAATTCTTTATTTTAAGTTTTTGTACACAAATTGCACACAACCGGTCCCTTTAGACCATAAACAGAAACAATACAATCGTAACATACAGTACTAGGAAACAAAAAGCATGAATACATGCATTAGACCCTAAATTGGGTACAGGGAATGCTCATGGGATGTACACCTTGTACACTCAGTAGACCGGTCCGGAAGAGTAAACGACTCCATCCATAAAACAGGGAGGTCGCGCAAGCTCTCGTGATCTAGAGCCACCCATTAAACAATACAGGGAAGAAAAGGAAAGAGGAAGTCTACAGCAACAGTAGAGATTGAAACCAGATAAGATAACAGACAAAGAGGACGTCAGGCTCAGCAGGGATAGCGAAGAGTATGCAGGCCGGAATGGTTATCGGGTCAACAGAGCTGCAAATTCCGGGGAGTCCAAGAACTTCGTCCAATAGAACCACGTTTTGTGGAACTTGCTCTGCGTATGGTGAAGAGCCGCAGTCAACTCTTCTAGGACATGCAGCTCATCAACCTTCTGGAGCCAGATGTGGAGCAGAGGAGGGTCTGAATGTTTCCAATACAAAGGGGTACATGCCGTGCAGCATCCACCAAGTGAATTAGCAGAGAACTGTGGTAATGGGTCCTCGAGAGCGGAGAGGTGCAGGAGCGCGGCCGCCGGTGCATCCTCCAGAGACACGACCGTGAGTTGTTTAATTATGGCAAAAAACGGGTGCCAAAACTCACGGATGCGGGAACAGGCCCAGAAGACATGCAGGATCGTTTTCTCCCCCTGGCCACATCTCCAGCAGAGTGATGATGTCTGCGGAAACATTTTGTGCAGAGTGGCAGGTACATAGTACCATCTGGTTAGGATTTGGTATCCAGATTCCTGAATGGAGCTATTGATGGATGTTTTGTGTGCAGGGTTCAGTGTTCTTCACACAGTGATATTTACATTTTATCTAATTATTAAGGACAAATCCTTCAAAATGCAAGATAATTAATGTGGATTCAAGTTGCAAGAAACTGTCACATTCAATTGAGGAAGGGGCAGAGATACAGCAGGAAAATCCCACTATTGGGGACTCCACAAGTTAGAAATCAGCCAAACACTGTCCACCAGAAATAAAGAATTGTTGACATCACACATTTGATCGACTTACCTTCCTTTTAACTTCTGAGCATGTTGTCCCATATTTTTGCTTCAGATATCTATAGTCATAGTTGGGGAATGGAGAAGGTGATGGATAATCTCCAGATTTATACAACTTCCAAAGGTATAAACCCACCACGCCAAGCAGTGTCAATGCACCAGCTATGTAAATTCCGATTTCCCATTCTGGAGGGCTTGTGATGACTGTAAAAGTGGTACGTAAAAAAAGGATGAGTATTTTTATAAAGAAATATAAATGGCACACAAAACAAAATTGTGGTTAGGAGTCATATTATATGCTTCTTATTCTGCTTTACATACAGTATTTATTGTTTTGAAAGCAAGAAAATTAGGTTGTGACTCATTTCAGGTGCTGTAAGCTGTGAAGAACATTTCTAGGATCTCATCATATCTATTAACCTCATTGAAACCAATACAGTCAGTGCATCTTTATTTATACCCACAATGCAATTCCCAGTGTCACCTGTTGCTCCACCTGCTGGTGAAACCTGGTATCATGACCCTTTAGGGCCCATTCACACCATGTCCGGATCATCTCCAGACGAGACCAGATTGTTTCCACACCCAAAATGCATTGTTATATGCGACAGTATTTCTGGCCTCTGTTCACACCAGCGCAGTCCGTTCCAGACCAGACCAGAAAAATACTGCTTGACTTATTCTGTCTGGTCTGGAATGCACTGGAACGCATAAAAACGCATTAAAAACGCATATAGACGCACTGGAACGCACCTGTAAGATCATTTTAAGCTTAAAAAAAATTACAACCGTGACAAAATCGCGGTATAAACATGGTAAAAGGCGGCGAAACACAGTGCACTGCATTCCAGATCTGGTCCGGAAAATGATGTGAACCTGCCCTTAAAGTAACCCATTATTGCCCCTATCCTAAAGTCACCAATTTAGATCAAAAAAGCCCTTAAAAATTCCATCTAGACCTGCTGCTTGAATGGAATACATGTATGTATTTTAGAGAAAAGAAGACAAAAAATATATATATATAT